CTCTTTTTACTACAATGAAGGTTTTTTTTTTAATAAAAAGAAGAATATGGAAATAACGAACAGTATTCAATCTCAAAGTCCATAAAACAATACAAAATAGGAGCAGAGCAAACACGGACCTCCAAAACATCAGTGGTGGGATCAGATGTCATGGAGGAGTGAACATTCCCTGCCGACCGGTCATACCCGCCGTGTGCTCCTTGTCATGATCAGGAAATAACGGGAAAAATCCGTCGTCAATTCAGTGTATAAATTATAGACAAACATTATATGAAAAACGTCAGTCAGCATTTGATTTAATGATAAATTGTATTTGCTGACAAGGTCATTGTATCGATATAGAACTTACGAAACGATGACTTAAAACGAGACTGCTAATATTCTTGTTTCATCAACTTGCTTGTCAATAATTTACCTCGTTTTAGAAACTGTTTATACGTAGAGCATGCTCTTGCGGATCTAATCAATTGCGATATACGTACTTGGTATGTAGGTGCTGAAGGTATATTGCTGCATAAGTAAGGGAAATTGACGATAGAAAAGTTAAAGTCATCACGTTTATCATATTGCTTGGTTGTTAGATTACCATTAACGTCTTTTTCAAGTAAAATATCCAAGTATCCAAGGAAATTACCATTATTAATTTACAATACGTCGTTGATATATCTAAATGTCGAGGTATGATTTTAATATCCCAATGACACACAATACGTGTGCATTGTTATTACTATAAACGAATTTGTTGTGTGTTGAGTCAAAAAATATTGCAAACACTCTTCAAAAGAGAACTCGACCAGTACTATTTTTATTACTGTTTAACAGAACGACCTATTAAGAGATATTATTACAACTATGCATGTCAAGGACAAGGAGAACAAAGCACGTGTGACCGGTCAGCAGAGTATGACCACTCCTCCATGGTACCTGATGCAACGTCTTATTTTTTACAGGTCCGCGTTTGCTCTGTTCCAAAATTTGTATTGTTTCATAGACTTTTTAACTTGCAAACCCAGAAGTGATGAATTATCTTATCATGCAATGATTTAAACAAACAAGATGAATCTAATTAATGTTGATTGTGTTCTTATATACCTTTTTCCAGTGTTTATAAAGTATTCAAAACTGTTCAAAATAAAAGTAGTTGGACTCTGCATAATAAAAGTTTATGATCAATTATTTAATAACCAATTTCTGTTTCTTGATGTTATTATAATGTACATACTAAGAATAAGACTAATAAAAAGATATAATTATCAGAACAAAGTACTGTTAAAATCTAGATGTAAATTTGTTTTTTAATCGCAGTTCGTTCAAAGGGGAAATAACGTAATTTTCATAGAAAGCAAACTCATACAATTTTTGTAATTTCAGGTTTTATTTAAAAAAATGTATGCATAAAAATACTTTATACATTTAGCACTAAATGAAAAAAAGTACCAGTGATCATAACTGATACAGGAAGACAAAGATTGAAATAGAAATGTCAGAAACTAGAACTGATTTCCGCTTAACACCTGTGTATTTGGCTTATATCTCTCAGTCAATTTAATACATGTACACAAGAGCATGCTTTAAGTTCGAACAATGTCTACAATGATGCGAGTTTCTGACAAACAAGTAAATAAAACAAGAATATCAACAGTGTCTTTAAAAGATAATGATAGAAAAACATGGCGGATTAGATTTATCTCTCGTACATAATAAATGTGCAGAAAACAGTACAAAACAGGAGCAGTACAAATACTCGAAACACCAGAGCTGGGATCAGGTGCCATGGAAAAGTGAGCATCCCCTGCCGACCGGTCACTTCCGCTGTTTCCTTCTTCTCATGATCAGAAAATAGCGAAAAAAACATCGTCAATTCATTGTATAAACAATGGACAAACAATAAGTATAAAAACGCCAGTCAGCGTTTGACTCAATGATAAATTGTATTTGCTGGAAAGGTCATTGTATCGACCATAGAACTTACAAAATGTTGACTTTAAATATACAGTGTGGTGCCATAAGTGTTTCACGGTTACACATTACTGAAGAAAAATTAAAACTAACTTTCAACCTTAATCTCTGTTTTCTAGAATATTATACATCGTTCTATAATTATTTTTGGATATAAGAAAATAGATGTTATGTACGTCATTCGGGATTCCCCTGGTGCGCGTTGGGCTATTTTTAGATATCCAAGCAGGTGTAAACAATCATGGCTGCAAATCGTCGTGAAATGTCTTCAGCTCTAAAAGAACAGATCGTGCGTCTCATTTTCGAAGAAAGAAACAAAATGAAATAGCCAAAATTACAGGATATGACCGCTCCACAATCTCCAAGTTTTTGAAGAGATTTTCTATGCGGCAAAGTGTCCTAAAAACGCCAGTCAGCGTTTGACTCAATGATAAATTGTATTTGCTGGAAAGGAACTTACAAAAACTATAAATATATATACACATGTCAGTTAGGGATGTAGAATGGAAAAAACAAAATAATATACCTTGTTTAGAGTGCCCATCTCAATCACCAGACCTAAATCTTATAGAAAATGTATGGAGATCAATTAAAATTAAAGGACAAGATAGGGTAAGAACAGTATTTGGCCCCCGATTTGGGGTGTCTTTCAGAATGATGCAACAGTTTATCCATGAAAACCTATTTTCACCCCTGCCACATAATGAGTGTTGGTTTTAAGATTTAGGAAATACAGGGGTCACAGTGAGGTCAGGAAATAGGTCAATTTTCGAAATTTCTCATTTTTTTTATGCAATTTTACAGCACATTTTCTTTCGGAAAACATAGAGCACACGCTTGCCTATCTACTAAATTTATATTATTTATACACTGATATCAGATGCAGTATATATGTAAAAATCTCAGATAGGCAAGCGTGTGCTCTTTGTTTTCCGAAGAGAAATGTATCCCAAATATGATGAAATTCCACCAGAATTGAGGAAGAATTTTCCTATATATTCGGGAAAATGTCCTATTTCTGCACCCTCTAGTGGCTGCCATGTAGGCTTTGAATCAAAATTAGTGCTTGTCTTGAAGTAAGCATCATTTTAACTTCTTAACTACAAACTATCACAGTATTACCAGTGTTCTGATTTTTATATCAAATAAGGGGCCAGATTCGGCTGCTACCCTATCTTGTCCTTTCAAGGGAGCATGATAACATCAAAACAAGACAAGAACTTGATGACTATGTGCTGCAGATCTGGACGTCCCTCACCCCAGTATATTGTATATACAGAGTTTATACGAAACCTGACCAAACAGACTAAATGCTGTAATTAAAGCTAAAGGCCATGCCACCAAATACTAAAAAAATCAGAAGTCTGTAATCAACAATAGTAAGGTAAGTGGATTTTTTGTAACATTGAATTTTAGTACTAAGCAAGGTTGACGTCATGATACCGTGAAACACTTATGGCACCACACTGTATATACACCTTGTAAGTTGATGAGGGTATATTGCTGCATAAGTAAGAAAAGTTGACGATAGAAAAGTTATCATATAGCTTCGTTGTTACATTAAAATTAACGTCTTTCAAGTAAAAGTATGAAACATATGTATCAGGCTCTGTGGTATCTTTTATCTCAAGCTCACCAGAATGTACCGTATGGACGTAGGAGTATAATTTACCATTTTATAATTGACAATACGTCGCTAATAATGGAGAGCAGTTGGTACCCATGAGAATTCCAGTAGATTGTTGGAATACCTGGTCTACAAAAACCACATTGATATTGTCAATCAGAAACTCAGGCATCTCTTTGATGTCAACTTCAGAGTACTTTTGTGTGTAATCAGATTGTGTTTTAACAAAATAATTTTGCAAATGACCAATGATCAGGTAAGTAAATATACGTGTTCTATTTTTATTGAAAAGCAGCTTCCAATGATATAGAAAAGAACAGACTTTAATTTATCGTGGAGAATGGTTGTGTTAAAGTTGAAATGTGAGTTTTTAAGCTGTTGATTTTGGTAAACTCTTGTGATTCCAAGTTGTCCAAAACTTCTCTGGAATTTTTGAGTATTTACAACTGATGCAAACCCTTCTTGAATATATTGTTTCAAAGTACTCAGGAAGTTTATCCTTCACTACTGTCAATATCTTAGTGAGGAGTAACGAAAGACGCTTGGTCAAACATTTACTGGAACAATCATTTCCGATAAACATGGTGATCACAACTTTTCTTACTTCAGTTTCAATTATTAATGTAACAATTTACTTCAGTGAACTGCATATGAAAATTTATTTCACTTAGATGATTCGATGAACAAACAAAAGCATGCTCCACTAAAACGAGGGAGATCACAAACAGGTTAATATCGACATTTTCATTTAAGGCCAATATTTTGCAAATTCTATGATATAAACTATTAGCTTGTCAAAAAATTCCATCATGATTGGGTCGAGGGAAGTTTATAAACTTTGCCCGTTGATGATAACTAACACAGGATACCGACTGTTAGACATGAAGAACTATGTTCAAGCAAAAAAATCAATTCAGACAATGCAAATCATGAACAAAGCAAATACAGTTAGAGACGAGCTTAATTTTAGAGTCAAAGGAGTATTACGTCTTCGTAAATGCTCCAATTTTCCTCAGTTATCGCCTCTCCGTCTTTAATCATTTTGTATTCTTTTGAATTTGCCGCAGAAGCATCTTCATTCAGAATGCTTTCTCTTCCAGGAAAATTAGGAACTGTATGCATTTCTGTTGATTCAACAATATTTCCGGCTTCATATAAATGTTTTCTTGAATATAATTCTCTCTCTTTTATCTTTCTGTTTTTATTGATTACTGAATAAAAAATTTCGGTCGACAAAGTGAAATCTATATAATGTTCTGACTGGACAGCCATTAAAACGTTCAGGTCTTCGTATTCAATAAACTCCGGGGAAGCATCTTTCTTTCCTGAAACAAAAGATAAAATAATACGTTTTCTTGCTTAATTAATATAATCCAAGTTTCTTGCAGATAAAATGACATAAAATGTTTATAAATTACTTGCCCCCAAAATCTATCACGAAATCGGTTTTTGTATTGTCTTCATTTCTTTGGTCCTCATCTCCTACCTTAGAAATATCACCAATGTTGTTGAAGGCCGAATTCATATCACCTTTAGTCTCTCTGACGTTGTTTTTTCTATTGTATTTTACGGAACTGTAGGGCCTAAGCTTCATATCCACACCATTGTTCATTCGTGACGATGTCAAATTTGAGTCATTTGGGATATTGCCTAAGGTTTTAAACTCGAAAAAGTTTCCATGGGACCAAGCATCTTGATATTTATGATCTATATTTTCAGCTTTATTTTCAGTGATCTCTTCCTTGTTTTGCTTCTTGTAAGGTTCATCGTTAGTATTTAGAGTGGTACCTATAAGAATAGCTTTGGAAACATTCTGAAGAATAATTCTTTCTTATCAATTCGTATTTTTTTTCATTCATTTCCTGTATCAGGCATAAAGAACTACATAAATACTATACTATATACATGCTCATAACATACGGTACCAACTTTGATGCTTTACGAATACTTGCCTTTCGAAACTAGCAATGTATCATTGTCCGTGTCTTCCTCATAAGTTTCATACTCGTTTCCCCTTTTCACAGATACATCATCAATATAGTCGTATGTCGAATCGTGTTCAGCTAATGTCTTCTGAGGTCTGTTATATTTTATGAAACTGTGCGATTTTGGTGTTATGTCCACACCCTGTTCCCTTTGTGTTATTCGAACTTTCCTCTTCCTTGATATCTTATCTAGAAACGTTTTAGCAGACCATGCATCTTGGTTTTCATTTTTTGTATCATCAAGCTTATTTTCTTTGTTGTATTTTACCTTTTCTGTGAAGTTTTCTTCGTTAACAAACGATGTGGAACCTGTAAGAATATTTAATGAGAATATTCTCAAGAAAATTTTAATTTACATTATACCTTTGTTGCCTGGAGTCTCTAGAAACAGTCAGTCTGTTGGACCGGAATGCAAGCTGTTGTTTAAGGTGGTCCCTCTCCTTGGTAAGATTAATACCAGAGAAGTTTGAATTTAGAAAATTCTTTTTGAAATATGAAATTAAAAAACAATGTTTGCATAGTCTATTAGAGAAATCAAAAGGCCTTTAAACCTTATGGGGTAAGATCAGGTGACAGAGAGGAGTGACCATCTACTGCTGGCAACAGTTTGCAATCCGGTACAGCAGACTGACTGTTTTTCGAGACTATTAACAACACTGTTTAATTTTATACCTACTGAATCAAATTCATGAATTTAACAGAAAATAAAACCACGAGAGAGAGGGAGAGAGACCGGGGGAGAGAAGTTAAGTGTGTATTTTTACTGCCCTACATTCAAGAGTCCCCTGAATTCTATCTTTGATAGCACCAGCAAAACAAACATTCCTGTTTATCTTTATAACATTTAATTTACATTTAACTCACGATTATCTGAATCAGCCGAGATTTACAAAATGAGGAAAAGCGCCATTTGAAGTCAGCGGGCAACAACATTGTTAACAGTTCCATGGCTGACAGTAGAGGAAAACACTTTTTAAGTAAGAAATCAGATAGGGACTGTTTATAGTAGGGGTATAACAATGTTTTGTTTTTTTTTTATAAAATCTGGCAATAACGCTCATTCAAAAAATAAACATCACGCGTGTCATGTTCTTCTTAATTAGCTTTCAAAAAATTTATTTAAATGTGTTTCTAATTACTATATTAAGGTGCATACATGATATGAATTTTCTAGTAGTTATTCCCAATGTTCCTTCCTGAAGTGCCCTGTTTTGTACCAGCAAGCTTGTGTTACTATTGAAGTGGCTATTAAGGATATTTTCTTCATGTATTTCATTGTCTATATTCCATAGATTAATGTTGTCCCCATGTGCAGTATTCTCTACATTTAAAGTAAAAAAATATTATTATTATTATCATTTTTATTCAATTTATTTCTTTATTTATGTTTTTCTTTATTATTATTATTATTATTATTATTATTATTACTTTTTTTTTTTAGAAAATACAAATTTTCTATCAGATTTGAATATTAAGTATCTTTTTTTCTAAACCGATATAAATAAAACCTTTCCTCTCTCTCTTTTCATGTAAAGAATACCTGATGCCCCCCTTCGATTACTTGCTGCACAAGTTTTCATTTTAATGAACCTTTAGACATAAAAATATTTTATTATAGTGGTCAATGCTGTTTATATTATTTGAAAGCATTATTTGAAAGTAAAGATTTCAATGTTTTTATGATATGTCGGTGTACGTACCATGACTTCATACAGTACATCACTCCTATGATTAAGAAACTTCCCAGCAACCCAATTGCGATGAATGCTGTGTTTTTCCAAGATGATGACGTAAAACCCATTTCTATTGCACTTAAAGGCCGAACTGTAATAAATAAAGCAGCGGTGGAAAAAACGTATACCAGTTTTACCAAAAACAACATTGAAAAATACAAAATGTTATAACATTTCAACATATCTAACATATTTTTCTTTCATTCATTATAACAATATATTCCTGAAGAGATCTGATAGAAATTATGCTTCTCTGGTAGGCTTTTTGCATTAAAAAGTTTCAAAAAGATGCACGGAATTAAAATTCCTTTTCAAACGTCCTTAAGTTATTTTATTCAGTTGTTTCAAAATAAAATCAGGCTCTATTCTTATAGTAAATATATGCATTGTATTTCTAAATAATACCATCAGCAGTAGAGATATGGGAACTGTTATCATAGCAACCGTCTATTAGGTCACACAGATTAGCGGGACAGTCACATGATTCAAGACAAAGCCTTCCATAGTAACCCTTTATACATTTTTACTACAGTTTAAACCATGGGTTCCGACAGGGCACTCTGTAGAAAGATTAATATTCATCCACTGAATTTTACATTTTCTCACATATATCGTAAGGTACATATATATTGATATATTTATTTGATCATCCAAAACCATTTATTTCACTTTAAAACATTAAAATTTGAATAAGGAATAACTAATACCTCTGCAGATTTTTCCCTCCCTGTAGAAATTATAACAGCACCTCTCAGGACTGGAATAATGCAAATAAAGAAATAATTCTTAAATGGATAAGCCTGTATCAATCTCTATAAACAACATTATAAAATCTCCATCTCTATCATCATTTTTCAACAGCCAACCACAGGATAACAAAAAAAGACTGGAACTCTTAGTTATTTTAATAGCAACAAACAATAATATCATTTTTTGTGTTCGGATGATATAAAATGATCTAAAAATATGATAGCATGTAATGTTAATACAGAAATACTTCAAATTATAATGTATCCGTATGACTTCTAAAAATATTATTATCTTAATGTTATCAGAAAATGCTACAGAAACTAAATAACATTAACTTTTCTCCACAGACCTTTTTTCACAAGAATTGCTGATTTGGATTATCCCCATTAGTATCCACAAAACACTTTGTAGAAAAAACATTATCATTTAGTTTGTCAATTTTGTTTCTTCTTGTGCACCAATTTTATCAATTTTTTTCTGAATTTATGATGATTTCCTCAGATAATTGAGTTCAAGGAAACATTTGACCAACGAGCATTACAGATTAAACTAAAATCTTTTTTTTAATTTCCTAACCAAGGAAATTTATCGCCAATAAAAAAAGATATAAATAAAACCTTTCCTCTCTCTCTGTCTCTGTTTTTCTCTCTCTCAATATCCTTATCATAAATTTCATAAACATATGTATAACGACCTTACAAAAGAGGCTTATGATGAACGTGATGACATGAATTTTTCAATCGTCAGCTTCCCTCAAACATGCAGCAATATAACTTATCAATTGCATATTAATAATATTTTAAACGAGATTACTTAATGACACTGATTTGAAGAGATTATTAATTTTCTCGTTTAATGTTCATACCTTCATCTCATAAGTTCTTTGGTAAATACAATAGCATTTAAAGCAAATACAATCTACCACAAGTCAATTGCTGACTGACGTTTTTCATTATAATTCTTAAGCCGTTATTTACACAGCAAATTTGAATTTGATTTTTTTCCGTTATAACAAGAGCTTACGGCGGGTGGTGGTGGTACTCACTCATCTATGGCATCTGATCCCACCTTTGATCTTTTAGTGGTTTTTTCTGTATGCTTTGCTCTTGTTTTGTATCGTTTGAATGGATTTTTGAGCTTGAGCACTGTTAGTTATCTCTTTTTATTTCACTTTGACATTTTAAGGATTTATGAAATAAAGGAACTCAATGTAAAAGATGAAAGATTAGTGTAAGAAAAATACGATGACTGGTAGCTTCTAAAAGTAGAATGATTTTTTCTTATATAACACTTTGATTTCCTCCAAAGAATTATTTTCAAAAAGGTTTGCAGAAAAACATTTTGTTGGAAAGGATGAGGAAATGTTCCTGCCATTTAACAGGAATATGTATAATTCAATTCAAATACGGAACAGAGGTCGACATCATAAATGTAAGAGCTTCAAGTGAAAAACTCTTTTTTAAAAGGGCATAAGACGGACAATTGCCTGGGAGTATGAAGCAGTCTTTGTTGATTTGTCGCAATCACCGCAATATTTAACTGAAAAATAATAAGATAACGAACAGTATTCAAGATCAAAATTCCATAAAACAATACAAATTAGGAGTAGAGAAAACACGGACCTCCAAATCATCAGAGGTGGGATCAGGTGCCATGGAGGAGTGAGCATCTCCTGCTGATAGGTCACACCAGCCGTGTGCTCCTTGTCATGATCGGGAATTAACGTCAAAAAATCTGTCGTCAATTCAGAGTATAAATAATGGACTAACAATTAGTAAGAAAAACGTCAGTCAGCATTTGACTTAATGATAAATGTTATTCGCTGACAAGATCATTGCACCGGCCGTAAAATTAACAAAATGATGACTTTAAACGATACTGCTGAAATTCTTGTTTCATCAACTTATTTGTCAATAATTTACCTCGGAAAATCATCAATTTCAAACTTCCTTAGGATTTTTACATCTTAATTAGATGATCCACATCTGATTTATAGCCCTTTTGGAATATGCTGTAAAATTACAATATGTTTGAAGATTTTCAACAACAGCATAAAAGACATAATATAGAATTGGTTAATTGCATAATCAGAATCCATAACTATGCTTATATCTACGTCTTTTGATAAAAGTTCCATCTCATTAACGTTGGAACGCTGTAAGACATTGTTTGAAGATAACAAATAGATTTATGTGGTCGTTGCAACCATATACCTTGTTAGTTTTCAGATGCAGTATTCTTGTATACTAAATGGACGAGATCCAACACTATGTTTATATTTCATAAAGTATAGTAAATACCTACATAAAATTTTCTGATTTTTTCATACCTTTTGCTTGTTATGCATGAAGTGATTTTTTAAAATCTTTAATGTAAAGACAAACTTATATGTTTGTTACAAAATGATATTTTCTGAAAAAAGTTTTTTGTTTGAGAAATAAATTTAATTCATACCAATCCCTCCTGTAATTTCAGTATTAATAACATATAAAGTTTAACAAGCAGAGCATTTACATACTTAAGGTAGTACGATCCTCAGGTTTATAAAATTAGCAGTTAAGTAGTCAAAAATACTCAGAAAAGTATCTCAGAATCCACAAAGTTATGTAAATTTATCCATAGTATTTCTGTAAAGTTAAAGATTAAAGTTAATCATATCATATAGGGAAAATTGTCAAATATCCAATATTTTTGCAGAAAATGCAAATATCAGCAATGCATTTTCTATGTATCCAGGCATTCAGAGAAATCATCCTGATTATTTTTTACTTATTTGGTATTTTTTTCGTCCCCTATGTCTGTCATGTATTCTATAATACTTGGTGTAAAAGTCTTTTGCTATCATTGCAAGACACCACAAAGCATTTCTTATTTCATACACGTAACAGCTTTTAAAAAAGCTTGCCTGACTAATGTCATCAATATCCATAGAACCTATAGGCTTGATAAGTTATAAACGTTTACAATGGGGAAGGGGGGTTAAATTATTTCACTTGCAAAAATATTGCACAAAACATAATGCACTTATTTTAAGTTGTATGCTATTCATTAGAGAAATAGAAAAAGAACACAGTTTAAAAAAACATATACATTATGTTTGTATCTCAAATAAAAAATGGAATGTACATGTCCCATGTTGATTCGAACCCGCGACGTAAGGATGAACACCCAACTCTTGAAGTCTTAAATGTTTTAGAGGATGAAGTAAATAAGGGAAATAAACTAAAGTAATTGATTTATTCTGGAAATTTGTGGCTATGTAAAGATTCCATAAATTAGATTCAACTGCATACATCATAGACTATGAGGAAGACAGCTGAAAATAGGATAACTACAAGAAATTGGGAATCTTAACAGTTATGGCTGACATGCGGAATATGTTTAATAGTTTCATGGGTATGCCAGAGCACTAACAATTGTTAGAAACGTGGGATAAATAAAGCCCGTTATGCATAAATGATCCAACAAACTTTACGGTGATATATGAATGGCGATAGGCGCGGATACAGTTAGTTTTTTCCAGGGATGCTCATGAGGGGTCCCAACAAAATTATTTGTATGATCAAAAAAGTAATGAACTTCCTCAATCCTGAAATGTGACGGGACACTTTCCTAAATCTATATATTCTGTTTTTGTCGGAGGAAATACCTGGAGGGGGGGGGGGCGATCAGATGTATATTTGGCCAGTTCATCCTCTTTAAAAGTTTTTGTTCCTTTCGTTTTTATTACTATATATGATGTAACTTCTAACTAACTTCACAATATCACCGATATTTTTTTTTTATTTCCAAAGCTCAATCAAGATTCCGACAAAAATAGAAGAGACATGTCATGCAGTTTTCATTTCCATTTATTAAAAGTTCAGGAAAAGGGCGCAAAAACTCTCACGTGACATTTTGGCGCGAAATGATTGTGTCACCTCTTACCTAGAAGACAAATGGACTAATCCAGTAGTAAAGAAATGCAAAAAAAGTCAAACGGACATGTTCGTATAGAAATTCGCATGAAATAAATAGCTGCATGCACAAAACTAAAGGAAATAAATACATCAATATATTGTATCAGTAATATGGTTATTTTTCGGCTAACTGTTATTGTTGAAATGCAGGTAACAAAATCCGATGACAATCAGCATGCGCAAAATTTTACTGGCTAAATGTTACCTCATAGCTTCGCACCTAAGAAATATTGATCCTTAGTAGTGTCTGACGCCGTGACGTCAGGCAATCATGCCTATGAACATTGGTATCTAAGTCTTGATTCAAGAAAATATTATTTCTCTGACACTGTGTTTCTTTTCCTTTTATAGGGTACAAATGTCAAATTTTATAAGACCTTTTCTAAGACTTCCAAAAACCTTAAATCTTATATAGATGAATAAAATGAAAATTGTTGCATGAACAAGTTTCATTTTCAAGCTTCATTTTGATGCATTTCAAATTAAATATTAATTTATCCTACCTCGTTGAGGATCGGATATCCTTATGAACGTTGTTAGTAAGCTTGTTTTTTTCAGCAAACCTTTCAATCGAACATCTAGAATCTATATACAATTCGCCTAAACAAATGAAAACAAGTTCAAACTTTTTTATGCTTGGGTTGGAATAGATTAAATTAAATTTCGGTAATCAAAAACACCAATATCATGGAAAGACAACCTTGAAGACAGTTTTCTTTTTAAAAAATCTATGCAAGTAGTACTGAAAAAGACAACAAAGATACAGTTTTTACGGTGTACAAATTTATTTGATTTCTATTCACCGAATAAAAGAAAAGTGTATTTCTATTAACAGCTACCCAAAAATCAAATAAATGGTAAAAATTCTCAGTTTAACTACCAAGACATCAATGAACAAACCAAGTTCATAAATAACATGTTAAAACAAATGTAATTATAATTTTCGTTTCTTTTTGTAACTATACAAACATTCCTATTTTAACTGTACCAGGTAAAAAGACGAGCTTAATTGTGGAGTCAAAGGATTGTTACGTCTTCGTAAATGCTACAGTTTTCCTCGGTTATCGTCTCTCCTTCATTGAACATGTCTTCTTTTGAAGTTGTCGCAGAAGAATCTTCATTCAGAATGTTTTTGGGAAAATGCGGAATTGTATATATTTCTGTCGATTCAACAATATTTTCGGCTTCATATAAATGTATATTTGAAGAAAATTCTCTTTCTTTTATCTCTCTGTTTTTATTGATTTCTGAATAAAAATTTTCGTTCGGGAAAGTTAAATCTGTATAATTTTCTGACCGGGCAGCCATTAGAACGTTCAGGTCTTCGTATTCAATTAACTCCGGGGAAGCATCTTCTTTTCCTGAACGCATACCTTCAATAATATAATGAATATATGTAACTTCCAAAACCAAAGATCAAAATAATATGTTTTATTGTTTGAATTAAATAATCCATGTTTCTTGCAGATAAAATGACATACAGTGATGTACAAGTTTATAAAATACCTGCCCCCGAAATCTACAACAAAATCGGTTCTTGTATCCTCTTCATTTCCTTGGTCCTCATCTCCTTCTCTAGAGGTATCACCAATGTTGTTGCAGGCCGAATTCATTTCACCTTTAGTCTCTCTGATGTTGTTTTTTCTATTGTATTTTACGGAACTGTAGTGCCTAAGCTTCATATCCACACCATTGTTCATTCGTGACGATGTGAAATTTGAGTCCTTTGAACTATCGCCTAAAGTGTTAAACTTAATGAAGTTATCATCGGACCAAGCATCTTGGTACTCGTTATCTAGATTTTCAGTTTTATTTTCAGTGATCTCTTCTCTATGTTCTTTGTAAGGTTCATCGTTCATATTTGTTCTGATGCCTATAGGAATATATCAGAAAGCGTTCTCAAGAATAGTTATCTTTCTTAACAATCTGATATCAATTCGTTTTTGAATACTGGATATTAAAAAATACAACTGTTATTGGATATACAGTAAGGTAACAAGTAATTTAATTTAACTTCAAATTCACAATGCTACAATACCATTACCAGGTGTTATATTTCTTAACTTCTCTTCGTGCATTGCACCGTTTGCTACCAATAACCCCGTATAACTATTGTTATGGTTAATATCTTCAATGCTTTCGTTATTTGTGTATCGCAAGGTCATGTTATTCGCCAGTGTATTTTCTAGAATAAAATTACATTTTTAAAAAATATCACCATCGCTTTTTAAAAAATAATATCAAATTTCAAGTCCTTTCAATACATGTAGCGGTTTAATAATCAATTATTTCTAAAATAAACATAATACCTGATATACTTATGCAGCTGCCAACATCTCGGGTTTTTATTCTGATGTACCTATTAATGTACAAATAAAAAACATATTATGAATAAAACGATACAAACTGTCATAAGTTGTTTTATTGTAGGTAGTTATGCTATAAATCATGTGTCAATCGTACCATGTTTTGACAAAGTACAGCATCACAATAACACAAAGTGTTCCAACAGATCCTATAACTGTGAAGAGTGTGTTTTTCCAATATGGGGACGATATCATATCATTCGGCAAGATTTCCGTGACTGGTGTTGAAGTAGGGGAAGATGGAATAGACCAATCTGAATAAAAGAAAAAAAAAGAAAAACAATTTTAAGGACAAAAGGACCCCCATTGGTTTGGAGTTGTATTTGGTTTTTATCCAACGAAGCGTTTTTTTATCACCAAGCCTTTGGGAGAGAATAAAAAGCACATAATTATTTAGTTGGATGAAAGTCTTATCCAGCTACAAATCATGAGAGATGATTTTATCGCATGTTAAATACTTCACAGCCGATATTTTACACCGATTATATATGACTCCACTTTATTTTACTTCATCAGGGTAACGCAAAAACCATTATAAATGTGACGTCACAACTGTACCTTACAATGGTATATTTACATCCACTGAATTTTTTTTCCTTTATTTCTTAATAAATCCCACTGCTTTAATCACTGCATGAACTACAGTAGGCATGTCGCTCTTGATCAGTGGCTGTGCCATCAATGAAACGTATAATGACTTTCGCATTATAAATACAATAATTAATCTTTTTAATCCTGCTTTAAATGATTATTTAAACAGATATAAATATAAACAATAAAATGTCTTTCTTTGTTTGTTATTACTGGAATTAACGGTCACAGCTATTGCAGAAAAAATTACATTAACCAGCTTACGTGGGTAATGTATTTTTCTGCAAGAGCTGCTTCCGTTAATTCCAGTAATAACAAACAAAGCATTTTATTGTTTAAATATTAAACATATATTGAATGAGTTCGAGTGAAACATGTGTTTTATCAGTCCCAAGATCCAAACTGTCTGCATAATGCCAGGTAGACCGATTAGTTCTTTGATCGACAAAACGCATTTTGCCCGAAAGCATAGTGAATCAATGTTTTGTTATTCCTTTCTTTTTTTCATATATATGTTTTACTGTCTTTATGATGTAACATCAGGTTCGTCACTGTTCAACACCAAGGAAAGAAATGAGATCGAGCTCCGCCCATTCCGTGACGTAAGCTTTAACACATCTCGTCGAACATCTCACTCAGCGGTCAAACATTTGATTTTATATGCCCTCTCAGCAAAACATTAGAGATGTTAGATGTTAGACTTTTTTCGCATAGAATTGTATAGGAAAATATTTTAAAGGTAAAGTCAAAAAAACAAAACCCTACTTTTAAATTCATATTTTTCAAGCCCCATCTCAATTTGACATTTCAAGAGATATACTTTTTCAAATAAAATGTTAAGTCTTTTAAAAGTATTGTTAAGTTTTAAAGGGTTTACGACAGAAGTGAATGTAAACAGCTTATCCCTCCTTGCCATCTGGTCCTAGCTCTGTAACATTATGATGCCTTATTCTCAGATTCGTATTGCTTTCAAACCTAAAATGCCAACTTTTCACATTTTTTTTTTTTCAATTTTCTGATTACCGGTAATGACTTATTCAATATATTTTTTTTTCATTAAATGATATCTATATCTATACACACCTGTTTGTGGTGGACAACCAACTTCTCTGTCACAAACGTCTTCCTCACAAGAACATCTCAGTCGACATAACATTCCAAAGTATTTCGAGGGACAAAGTCCACTACAATTCAAACCAAAAGTACCCATGGGACATACTAAATGTATAAATGTATGTATATTGCAATGTTTTCTCTTAATATAATCATAAAATAAATTTACATACCCCCCGGTACATTACAGTTAATATTTCAATTAATTATCTAAACTTACGTATGCAATGGCCATTTTCGTTCTTGTAAAAGTTGAAGCAGCATACTCCAGATTCACTGGATCGTTTGAAAAATGATTTAGAATTGTAGAAACAAATGACATTATTGCACATCAGAAAAATAATTTCAAAGAATAATATGATTCAACACTGCTTTGAAGAAAAATAGATTTTAAAATAAAAAAACTGAAGGCACTCATGGGAGTTGAACATTGTTATCTGAAAGATCTCGCGGAAAGTTTAGGAAGGATATGGAAATAACGAACAGTATTCAATCTCAACGTCCATTAAACAAATATAAAAAATAAGAGCAGAGCAAACACAAACCTCCTAAACATCAGAGGTGGGGTCAGGTGCCATGGAGGAGTGAGCATCCCCTGCCGACCGGTCACACCTGCCGTGTGCTCGTTGACATAATCGGGAAATAACGGAAAAAATCCGTGGTCAATTCAGTGTATAAATAATGTTTCATGCTTTTAGATTCAAGTCAGCTAGAACTGATTTGCTAGAGATACAACACCAAACATCAGAAAAAATCTATGTTGCATTTGAATAGTCAAGATCATGGGACTGCTCTTACATGTACATGTAAATTAGCTGCAGAACTGTAGCTGTCTGAAAAAAAAAATGACAGACCAGAGAACTACAGTGCCATCCATTGAAAAAAAAATGTATTATTATTGCGAACGAACAGTTAAGTTTAGTTCTGGATTTATTCTGTCTAATTCTTAACTCAACAATTTGATCAAACCAAACAAACAACCCCCACCACAAAAAAAATCCAAACTCGAAAATACTATTTAGTGAGTAGGTTTCAAACTTCTTTCAGTATCATTTCTTACTCAAACTCCCCTACCCTCTTTAGAATGTGTACAAGATATTTTGTCCCAAGAAACAAACAAACAAACACTCTTTATATTCGATGTTACCATCACCAGACACTAGATTGTCATTTTTCTTCCTCTGATTAAAATAAGTATTTGCTATTCTCTTTTGGGTATGAATGTTTCTTTTCGGGCATAACAATTTTTATAAAAATCCGTGCTTATCTATTTTATCAAATGTATCTATCTTTATAACTTAATCATCAAGTTTTGTTATTCCATAATTTTAAATTTCATTTCAAGTAATTTCTATATAGAAGTAAGTATCTGAATTCTTCATATTTTGTTTGTTTTGCGTTCGATAATTTTTCAATTATATTGGGAAACTACTACTTGTCGATGGAGCTAGCTACATGTTAGTCTGCAAATTGTTACCTATACACTTATTTTCTGCATGCACATACTGCGACATGGGATTTCAGTTTATATATATGGACTCATCAAAAGAGTTTATCTCCAATTATTATACCATTGTGTCCGTGCATACGCATGTATTCATTAATTTTAAATGTTTTAATTATATAATAAAATGAAATAATACATTTTATAGGGTAATACTGCAATGCAAATACATACACATTTTTCAAGTTCAGATTTGGTGTTGTACACGTGACCGACTGAAAGCTGTTAAACTCATGAAATAAAGGATGTAAATTCAATGTCATTTGAAATTGTGAGATTCGAATATCAACAAACTTTAATGATATTATTTTTCCCTTTACCCATGTAAAAAATTAGTTGCATGTTTCTGGTCAAACAAACATTTTCCAGTCTAACAGATCATTTTACTTGTCATAGCAAATAAATGTCTGACAGTGATATTTTCCATTGTATTTTTTTAAAAAAAGTCACGTTGTTCTGATTCTTTATTGCTGAAACAAATTGAAAGAAGTTCGTTTAAACCTTAGCGTTCCTTTGACCTTAAATCAGTTCTTTGTTTACATCTCTATATTTAGACAATCGCGTCATTGTCAAACTAGTTAGACCAGTTGTTGCTCCTTTTGATAACCTCGCACTTTTTGTAAAGCAGCGTAGTGGAGTCAGCCGAGGATTGCCGAATGATAAATGATGAGACTTTTTTTTCATACGGAAATCAAAATTTTACGAGTTATTTCTCAAGAGAGATGACAAAAATATGCTTTTCAAATTAAGTTGAATAAAATTCTTTTTCATTTACTTTCAAATCATTTATGAGTATTGGATTAATTCAGAAAAATGAGATGGACTATTTTCATTGCGGAAGCTTTCCGAGTTTATATAGACTGGTGTGAGTTTGTATTGAAAATCACAGGGGAGTAAATTGGGCGACACAGAAACACAACGACAGTATCTATATAATTCATTGTAAAATTACTGCGCTAGAAACCTAGGGAGTCTGAACATAGTTCAACTCCCAAAAAGCGTCTATAAAATTATCTTGTTTAGCTTACATAGAACCATATGTGGAAACAATTTGATTTCATAATTATGTATTTGAAACAAACACAATAATAATTTCCATTTTTGAAATCTATAACATATCAATCGGCGGCATATTTTAGTTCCTGTTTTTGAAAATGAGGAAAAATTAGTTTGATTTTTCCATAACAGAATTGCAGGTTGTTAATTTTTAAGTAAATTTACATTAAGGGTACTTACCACAAACAAAAAATGGATGCGCGGGTTGATATGTATCTTTTGACTGATTTTGATTTCTATTAATTTAAATAATAAATCCCTGAAATATAAAGAAATCGTAGGTTTTCCTTGGTGCTTAGATTTGAGATTTTATTTCGCCTTCTATATCATTCCATACACAATTATGCACAATTTTTAAACTTTATGACAAAATCTTATAAAATTCACCCACTCTACTTGGTAAACATTTTTCAGGTTGTCAATTTATTTGTAAATCTATGAGAAAAAATGCTGATTTCTGAAAAAAGGTTTGTTTGTTATCTATCCTTAATTGTTCAAGTCTTCAAAAACAAAAACGATTTGTAACAAAAAAATGTCGAATCTCGATCAATTAGAACAAGGCAAGCTACTGACAAATGTTAAAACACAACCCAGCTTTCATAACTTTAACTTTGATTTCTTTATACGTTCTATTTTTATATTCAGTCTATCGTTGAGTTTTTTTGTGCTACTGAATAATCGAAAATTCGAGGGTATATAGTTTTCTCCCAGCCTGTCTGTCCGTCTAGCTCTTTTTTTGTCTGTCGGAAAAAACTTTAACCTTTGGAGGTTGTTGGGCTATTGCTTTCATTCACAGTTTTATTTTCCTGTGACAAGTCCCATTTTCAGAAAGATTTCATATCCATGACCTGTCTATTACGTTTAAAACTTCTTTCGACTATGGGTAATTCCAACATTCTGAATACAAAACGTGGTGCGTTTTGTGGTCGGTCTAGAAAAAAGATACTTACTCTAAATAGTCAGTGAACCTATCCTCATTTGTTTCCATTGTAGGACTGTCACTTGTACTCGATTTTTTATTCTTTGAAATCTGTATTACATTTGCATATTCATTTTTATAACTGTTTATTTGATATATTGTTTAAGAAATTATCAAAACAGAGCCTCATTAATTTAATTTTTATATTGGTTTTCTTTGGAAGGATATGGAAATAACGAACAGTATTCACTCTCAACGTCCATTAAACAAATATACAAAATAAGAGCAGAGCAAACACGGACCTCCTAAACATCAGAGGTGGGATCAGGTGCCATGGAGGAGTGAGCATCCCCTGCCGACCGGTCACACCCGCCGTGTGCTCGTTGTCATAATCAGGAAATAACGGAAAAAAATCCGTGGTCAATTCAGTGTATAAATAATAGACTAACAATTGGTATGAAAAACGTCAGTCAGCATAAATTGTATTTGCTGACAAGGTCATTGTATCGACCATAGAATTTACGAAATGATGGGAAAGTTTTATATTTTAAATGGAAATCAGGAACATACGTAAAGGATAGTAAACAAAAAAGTTTTTTAATTCTCAATTTTTAAAGACAATTTAAACATTGAATAACTAGGAATTTCAAGCCATGATTGAAAGCCGTAAATTGAAATGCAAATGGGAAAAAGACAGAAACGACCCTTTGTTATAAGTAAAATTTAAACATATACTTAAACAACTTCCTTTAGAAATAGGAAGTAGTAAATAATATTTACAAGAATTCCACTTCCGTAAACAGTTTAGTTAGAGCCCGTGGAGAAATCGGCACAGCATGACCTCCATTACCTGATACAGACATCATGTTTTATGGGACTATTTTTATAGTTAATAAATTAATCTAACAACCAAGCTATATGAGAAAGTATTACTTTAACTTTTTTATCGTCAATATCCTTTATTTATGCAGCAATATACATTTATCACCTGCATACCGAGTATATGTATCTCATATACTCATTGCGTATGTGATTTGATACGCAAGAACATGCTCTACGTATGATCAATTTCTAAAACGAAGTAAATTATTGACAAGGAAGTTGATGAAACATTAATATCAGCAGTCTTGTTTAAAGTCAACATTCCGTAAGTTCCATTGTAGCTACAATGGCCTTGTAAGCAAATACAATTTATCATTGAGTCAATTGCTGACTCACTTTTTTATACCAATTGTTAGTCCATTATTTAAACACTGAATTGACGACGGATTTTCAGTTATTTCCAGACCATGACAAGGAGTACATGGTAAGTGTGACTTGTCTACAGGGGATGCTCACTCCTCTATGGCACCTGTTCCCACCTCAGATTTTTCGGAGGTCCGTGTTTGCTCTGCTCTTATTTTGTATTGTTTTATAGATTTTGAGATTGTTCGTTATCTCCATATCATTATTCATTTAACACACAAAGTATCATGCTAAATAGCCCCTTCACCATTCCATTGAATTCATTTGAAAGCTTTGTTATGAAAGTTATAATTGGTTCATTATGTTTATCATTAAAATAGAAAGTTTTCAAGATTATCTACAGATTAATAGATGATCTATTATCTATTTTTTAG